TGCCACTTGGCAACTAGTTATTAGTAGCAATCCAGGATCATGATCAAGAAGATCACAAAACTTCGTTTCCACGATTTCACTCAGCATGGAGAGCTGCCAGTTGGTATCGAGGAGTCTAACGTCGCGTGTCGGGGTGGGTCAATGATGCACTTTTCCAGGTCGCTAATTAGCGGAAGACGCCTTCCCAAGCTAAACCTTGAGTGAACATATCTCCTTCCTTTCGACACCATCACAGTATCATCGTCATCTGCACAATTTGCTCTGGCAAGAAATTCATTATGAAACGCCCTCGTCGATTCGATAGATTCGTCATTGACAGTGATTATGGCTGGCAGCCTGTGTTCTCGTTCACCGCGCGTCGCAATCGGCACCAAGCGGGCTAGATTGCCTTTGCCCCCAGTAAACACATATGAATCGGGCGACGCATAAGAGCATGGAAGCTGTGGCAGATATGATATGATGACCTCGATATGTCCTTGAAAGGCCTTCATTGTTAACTGAACTCGCAAGGGCACCAGGCCGTAGCATCCGCTAAAGTTTCGTCTTCACCTTCGATCATGTTTACATAACTGGATACAGCGTGTATGCTTGACGTTACAAGGCAACAACTCTCTCCTTCACCGTGCACCACAATAGCCAAATTCGGTCGTCCTGCCGCCCGAGCTAGCAGCAAGTCACCCTCACCTTCACCGCGTGTGCGGCAGTCTCGACAGATAGTCACTGTTTCCAGCTCAAAGCTCCGTTGCCTAAACACGACAACCCAACAGGTCCGCAGACACGGTAAGTACTGGGCGCCGAACCTGCCCAGCAGATACTGGCACTAAAACAAGCAGATGCAACCAGAAATCACCATCCTAAGCTCTGATTCGAGCAGCTCGGGCGACGACGACGATATCATCTTCGTCCGATCGGTCGAGAAGCCACGCGCCCCGAAAGGCAACGGTCGTCCAACCAAGAAGCGCGCAAACCCCAACAACGTCTCAGCTCAGACGGTTTCCCCAAGCCCGGCGGCCAAGAAGCGGAACGTCGGACCTCAGGATACAAAGTGCACGAAAATCAACAACGTATCGGCTCAGGCTGTCACTCCTACCTCTGCGACCAGAAAGCGAAGCGAGGGTGATCAAGCTAAACCACGCGTCAACTCCAACAACATCTTCGCTCAAGCTCTCTCACCAAGCCCTGCGGCCAGAAAACCAGTCAGTATTGGTCAAGGTCCAATGCATACGGGACCCTCTGACTTCTCGACCTGGGCAGTCTCCTCCAGCTCTGCGGCTAGTGCGCAGATCGGCGATAGAAATGCCTTGACTATTGCTGCTGAGATCAACACCACGGCGCGTGGCCCAGGACAGAAATCTACATTTATGCTCGCGACACGCAAAGTTCTGGAAGCCGCACTGGGCAAGGAGGCCTCGGAAAGCCAAGAGAAATCCCTCCTTGAAGAGCAAGAGCGTACTGATCAGTACATCGCGCAGCTGGAAGAAGCAGTCAAGCAGAAGGGAGGAGTAAATGTTTCGCACAATCTCATTGCCCAGAATCATATAGCCATGTTGAAGGCGAGGTATGAGGCAAAGGAGAAGACCGCCTCGACAGAGATCAAGATACTTCGCGAGAGTAACAAGAAGCTCACAGAGGACAAGACAAAGCTCACACGCAGGGTCAAGCTAAATCGAGACGGACGTGGCGCAGTGGAGGGCATGGCTCAAGACGACGCTAGCGCGGAGATTCAGATACTTCGTGAGACCAACGAGAAGCTCTCTGATGAGAAGAGTCAACTGTTGCGCACCATCAGTCTCCTGCAAGATGAGACTCGTATGTGGAAGACCAAGGCAAAAAAGAAAGAAGCTGCCGGAGAAGATCTGGAGACACTGCGCGAACGCAACGCAAAGCTCACAGGAGAGAATGCTGAACTTGTACGCAATGTCAAGCAACTCAAAGACGAGCACGAAGAAGATCTGAAGACGCTACGTGAACGCAACGAGAAGCTCACAGGAGAGAACACCGACCTCACAAACAATGTCGAGCAACTCAAAGACGAGCACAGTACTCTGAGGGCCAATGTCTCCGCCTTGACACAGGACCTCTGTGAGCAGAAGAAGCTCTTTGCGTCCAAGAAGATGCGACGATCCAATGGAGACGTCAAGGCCGCCATAGCTGAGACTAAGAAACTCAAGAATGAGATCAAGCGCTTCAAGGCAAGGAACAAAGGGTTGGCTGCACAAAACACCGACATGTCCGGCAAACTCGCGGAGCTGGGCACTGAGCGCCGTACCGCTATCGACAACCAGAGAGCCGCGAAGCAGTCAGCAGAAGAAGCTTCAGTCGCACGCGAGCACATCGAGAAACTGCAACGACAACTCGCTAAGCTGGATGGAGACTTCCGCGAGCGAGGTGAACAGCTTGCCGAGCTCAGCCGAGACTCCGAGTCGAAGCACGAGATGAGGATGCAGAAGAAGGCCGCCATCAAAGACAAGGGCCTGCTACAGACGCGTATGGTCGGTATGTTCACGCACTATCGGAACCTCTTCAAGAAGAACAAGGCTCTGCTAGAGAAGCTGAAGTCGACGGCTGAGGCTGGGGCAGATGGACAGGGAGGAAAGGCGTACCGTAAGGAGCTGAAGCTGTTGAAGGGTCAGCCGCTTGAGAAGCTCAGCGAGTTCAAGAATCAGGACTAATCAACTTTATCGGCGGCCGTGCACGGCGAGGAGGGTGTTGGAATCTTACGAGAGACTTTCGTCGCGGTGCTACAAGCGGGCGTCTACTTGGTGGATTGGTATTATGAAGGGATACTTGATGTACATCGTCGATCATGTTGATGTACGAGGAGAGGAGCTTGTCGGCCGTATCATCACCGCAGCCTTTCATGTCTTTCGGACTGGAACATCGGCTGTCAAGAGTATGAGCATGGCGATCTCGCTGAGTAACTAGTCAAGCTCTGATTTCTCCTAAATATCCTACAGTTCCCTAACACATAGTCGCTGTGACGTGAAATAACAAGTAGACGCTGAGAGGCATCGCGGTAGGGAACAAGTGTGAGACGGGGAGTGACGAAATGAATACTTGCGACTCACAGGTAGAGTTGAGTAGGTGACTGCGATCCGTGATAAGAATACTGCGTTAGAGATCACAAGATAGCATGTGTATTTGCGATCTAGCCCACGCGCAGCACTCATTGAGCGCAACTCATTTAGTTTCCAAATTTGTATAAGACAACCCATCTCTCGCCATCCAGTACCGTTCTCACATCAAACCATCACGTCATGTCCCCTTCCCAACAAACCAAACAAAAAGCCATGGAAACCAATCTCCAGCGCCTCCAAAACGAGTTGAACACCATGAAGAACGACACAAAAGATCTCCCCAGCGGAATCAACGACCTGCGAAACAAGAACGCAGATCTCGAGAGCAAAATGGCTCTCGTCACCGCAACTGTCGCCTTCACCAACACTGTCAATGCTCTCACCGCCGAAAGCACAGCCAAGATCCGCAATGACGTAGAAGAAGGCAGGAAGACCATCACGGATAAGATCAAAGAATTCCAATCCCTGTTGGAAACCTGCGTGGAGGAAACCGTGAGGGGGGAAATGGTTCCAAACATGGTTTCATGTCTGGTAATGGATGAGATGAAGACGGAGGCAGTGCAGGAGATGCAGAAAGAATACGCGAGGAAGGCTGTGACTGTTGCGGGGCCGGAATGGATCTACGAGAAGTTGGAGTGGATGGTAGGGAACGCGTTCGAGAAGGTTATGAAGAGGATTGACGGGCTTGAAAAGTAGCTGATAGTCAAGAGGGAAGGGCCGAGAAGGGAGGTGGTTAGCTGAGATGTAGGACAGATGGTTGCTGTCTTTAGATCGGTGGATGCATCGCCTCCATGTGTCTACCACCGATCTTGTAGTATTTGTTATCATAAGCGTGACGCATCACCTTGATTGCATAGTTGTGAATATAGAAGGCTAAATCGTTGTTAAGACGTGCAATCACCTCGTTACTAGGAGACTCTTGACGATCGAGGACGGCTATCGAGCTCATAGCATGCGTACCACGAATTAGAAAACCGCTGATTTGCCATGTAGTCATGCGATCCAGTCATTCGATTTGTGACAAACCCACAAGGGATGTAATGTAGTAGCACTATAAGACATCCGCTTCCTCACTTCTTCCTATCCTGTTCATCTTAACTCTCTTCTTCGCAACGACAGCAAATACAGGCTCAATGGACCACACAACCCCTCAGAAGAACGACATCAAACCGGCCACCCAACCCACCAAAGATGCTAGCCAACTTCTCTTGGAGGACATCAGTGCAATCAGAACTGACATACAAAGTCTTGCCCAACGATTCGATCGCATGGAACGTAACATCAAGACCGCCAACAAATCAGGACTAAATGAGAGACTCACTTCGTTCACCAAGGCGGTCGCTGCCAGGAACAGTGATGGAAAGTGGGTTGGAGCTGAGGCTGCGGAGAAATTGACTAAAGAGTTGAGGGAGGAGGAGGAGAAGATGGAAGATTCGGCATACTATTGGTTCAAAGACTTGAGAGAATGGCTGAAGAAGGGCTTGGCAAATGTGGAGGACACTGAGAAGAGGTCCCGTGAGCACCTAGAGGGGGTGTCGAAGAGGATGGATGCGTTGATGGATGAGCAAGAGTGATTGGGGGCATAGGCGTTGGAGTAGACGAACTTCGCCTGGCATAATGGCGAAGAGCAGTTAGTGGTATGAAGACATGGAACATGGGCATGGACAGGCCTAGAGCTCAGTGTATGTCTCCGTGGTCAAGACATGAAGTCATGGCTTGAGCACATACTGTAGCATCGATCTCACTCCTCACGCATAAGGCAGTTTGTCATGTCGCCCATACTGAAGCACAAGAACATTCTAACATCACTCTCCGGCCAACTTGCATATTCCATTGGCATCCGTCCATACAAACAGACAAACCAGGCCTTACCATACATGTAGACCACTGGAAGAGCTAATAAAAAAACAATAAGATCACGAAATGTCACTTCCCATGCAACCAATTCCTTTCCGTGAGGAGATCAAAACCCTGATTGAGCGCATCGCAGCTCTACAGAAGGAACTCAAGGAAAAGACAGATAGACTCCACTTCCTCTATGGCTTCGAACTGAGGTCTTCTGCTGCGCCGGTAGGCAATGACAACGACAATGAAGGAGCCGAGCACGACAAAGATGATGAACAAAGTGAGGATGAGCAAGAAGTCGAAGCAAAGAAGACAGGCATCAAGAAAACAGCTGCCAAGACAAAGATCAATAAAATAGCCATCAAGAAGACAAGCGTTAAGAAGGGCGAAAGCAAGAATAAGGAGCCAAGATTATGCAAAAAGTGTGAGGAGAACTACCTGGAAGACAACGCCCGTTCCAACTGGGTGAACTGTAAGGAATGTAGAGATAAGAACACAGAGGTGTGGAATGAGGGACGGGCAAACAGGGAGCGAAAGCAGAAGGAGCAGAACGCAAAGCAAAAAAAGCAACAGGGAGATGAAGTCGAAGGAGACGAAGTAGGGGACGAAGTAGAAGAGGCTGAGGAAGGAGATGAAGAGGATCTAGAAGAGGACTCGGAAGAGGAACAGGAAGCAAGGAAGGACCAGCGCAAGCAACCTAAGAACAAGTCTGGAAAAACTGCTTCAGAACAGACTTAGCTTGTCACCCTTGTGTAGTTCCAAGTATAGCACCATCAAAAATCTCATATTCATCACCCCACATGCGAATAACCTAAGATAATATCCCCTTTCTTCCCCATCGTTCATGTTTATGCCTGCCCAGGACCCAATCGCTCATGCCATGGTATAGTACCCGAATGAATGACGCCAGTAAATGCTTCGACAAAGCTCGCTGAACCCATTTTGATGCCGCTAAAAACAGACGTAAAAACAAACAGACGCTCGCCATGCTCTTAGTCCTAAAAGATAAGAATAGTCCAAGACCAAAGGAGTGTGATGCCCAAAACACCAAAGCAACAAAGCGATAAAATAAAAGAAATATATCTTATGACATGATATCGTGTTAGATAAGAGGGCCCGCCATCATAGGACTTCCCCGCGTGTTGTTCGTCAAAGTGGGTTCATATGCTCCGGGTGAGCCCGAAGAACCTGGTCGTGGTCGGTAGTAGCTGTTTGCATACTGTGCGGGAGGAGCAGCATAAGCACCTTGTTGCGGTGGGAGAACACCGGGTGGCGTAGAGTTTAGCATGTTGCGGTTGCTACGGCGTCGACCAAGCACTGGTGATGCAGGAGCACCTTGAACCGTCCCAGTGGAGTTGCTGGACTCGTTTGAGTTGCTCCTCACGTGTTGTGCTGTAGCTGGCTGCTGCATCTGAGGAGAGCCAGTTGGATTCGCCGGACGCTGGAAGCCTTGTGTGAAAGGATTGGTACGAGCGGGCACACTCGTGTCTCGCTGACCAAGTGCTTGTCTTCTGGTCTCGATAAGTTCCCGAGCCCGAAGATTGCGTTCGTCCGGAGTCAGCCCGACGGAACGAGCAGCAGGTTGCGCAGGGGCTTGTACGTTCTGTGTAGGTGATGGGGGTGGTCTCCCATTATCAGCCGTGCGCAAGGCTCGTGTAGATGGCTGGGGAGCGAGTTGGCGCCGCGATGGCTGAGGTCGTAGATTGAGACGTGATGGCTGAGGCCTCACGCCTTGCGGAGGGTTGCCAGCCTCCCTAATATTGACGCGAGAGCTTGCTGGGCGCAAGGTAGCTACCGAAGACTGATCACGAAGAACTTGACGTGAGTTACGATTGCGCACACCACGTGCCTGCACAAATGCAGCCCAAGGGTTACCGCGCGCAGCAAAAGGAGGAAGAGCCGCACCCTGGACATGCAAGCCCATGGCAGCATGAGGAAACGCGTTCGCTGCGGCAAAGTTGCCAGAGTTCCTCCTGCTATTTGCCGAAGATGGGCGAGCACCGACTCGACTTATAGGACGATCTATCATGTCCATGGCTGCAGCTGCCTGTGTCTGTGCTATCGTATCGATGGAGTGTTGCGAAGAGGCTGAGGAACTTCCAGGGGTCAAGACGGCAGAACTATTGCTGTTGGAACCAACAGAAGGCGCACGATCAAAGCGGCTCATGTTGCCGGCATTGCCCATCGCTGGTAAGCCAGGCGACATGGCGCTTCGTCGAGGTGGCGATATTGGGAGTCGCGGATCCATGATATAGTTCGTGCCATTGTCCATAAGCGGCGTTCGAATGCGCGCAGGAGGTAGAAAGGGGGAGTAGGCTTGCGCGGGACTGGGCCGATTTCTGTTCCTTGTTCGAGGGCGAGACAGCGGTGTCATGGTGCGTGGTTCAACGTCTATCAAGGCGCCCGCCATCTGGTGTTGTTGGAGAGCTTGTTGATGGGCAGCGAACATCCAGCTGATACGCGGATCGTATTCCCGGCGTTGCACACGAGGAGCCCCTCGCCTGTGCCCCTGGGAATTATCCGAGTTATCATCAGTGTCCGCCTCGTTGGTTCCATCCGCAGCAGCAGGCCCCTGGTTGTAAGCGCGAGCTGCAGGGTTTCGCAGATGGGCTTGTGAGCGGCGCGTCCGCAGGGTGTTCAGGGCTAGATCGACGTCGCCATCTTGGTCAGAGTCATCGTCGTCCGCTTCCCCGTCTTCGTAGTGGGCTGTCGCGCTCGACAGGACAGAGGATCTTCGGCGGAGACCACGCGAGGTATTCAAGACGCGGACATTGGCGGTTCTGGAAGGCGGGCGTATCGGGGCACTAGGCCGAGGACGATCTGCAGTAGGTGTTAGAGAACCGCCCATTCGGCTTCTGTCATTTGAGTTCGCAAGCGGTTCCCACCCAACGGTCGTCCTTCCTCCATCGCTGTCATCTTCATCCTCTTCTGCCATCTCGTCGTCGTAGTCGCGTTGTAGCTCCCATCCCTCCTCTCGCAACAGTGCTTGTGTATCTTCGTCGAGCTCCTCAGTGGAGACGTCGGTGGAGGTTGTTGACGCTGTCTCACGGGAGGATCTCGACCCGTTTGCCCGATGTAAGACACGGGTCTGAGCAGGATTCCTCATGCCCCTACGAACGGGCCCCTCGTCTTCCTCGTCTTCGTCTTCCTCCTCGACGGTGCTTGAGCGGTTTGATGATGACTCAGATTCGACAATGCGACGTGCTCGGGCACGCGCTCTGTTACCCGCAGGCTGGGCAGCAGGGCCAGGAGTAGACGATGCGGCGCTGGGTGAACTCGATGCAGGTACGGCCTCGTCATCGATAAAGTCGTTCATCGAAGAGTCCTCGTCCAAACCATCTTCGTCTTCCTCCTCGACCGTATCCATCTCGTCGCCGTACATGTCTGAGACTATGCTCTGTGAGTAGGAGCGTCGGCTGCCGGCTTCGCTGTGCGTGATCGGTCGTCGTCTTGCGAATGCCGCTGCATTGGGTGCCATGCCAGCGTCCAAGAAGCGTCGCATCATGAACGAGCCTTGATCTGGGGGGTATGCGCCCCAGTCTTCCATGCCGTCTCCGTAGCCGTCGTAGTCGGGGTCCTCCATGTCCATTTCGGCGTCGAGGTCGTCTTGATCGTGCTCTGACATCTCGTCCATGTCACTGAAGCCGGTGAAGCTGTTGCCCCATGAGACTTCGCCTGTCTCGTCGAATATCAGTCCGCAATGGGTGCATCCGCCGTCTTCCAGCTCCCAGGTACACAGCGGACATCGGTCAACTCCATCTTCTTGATCGCGCACGATTTGCAGTGACAGGCGATTTTGGTGAGGCGGAAGCCTGAAGCAGCCCTTGAAGAGACCGCCAGCGCGGGGGTCCGCGTTATCCTTGTCCAGCTGTACAGCATCTGCCTCGTCTTTCTGCCACTTTTTGTGGTCTTCTATGCTCTCGCCCGTAGGTAGTAGTTCGGCTCGCGCGATGAAGACGCTCGTCATGTCTCGTATCTGCCCAACTATGTTAGACGTCGTCGCTGAAGGACATGCAGGCTGACTTACCACATAGGCGGGGGCGGGCAGGTCCTTTACGACGATGCGGCAGTCGGGGCATGTCTTGCGGGCCTTGTTGGCGACGAACCACGTGCAGAGACACTAGGCATGTTAGAGGGTGGCATGTGCGGTGGGAGGGTGCGCGTCTTACTGTATAGCAGTAGGTGTGCCCGCAGGATATGGTGTACGGTTGGTAGAGTAAGCGGTCACAGATCTTGCATGTGAGATGCGTGCGAAGGCTGTCAAACTCCGACTTGAGCGCCTTGAGCTGCTGCGGGCGGTTAGTCGATGCATGTGCCATGCAAGAAAGAGTCTCATACTTCATCTGCGCGGCCCAGCTGTGGCGGCTCGTCCTTCTTGGTCAGCATCTTCTGTTTGAGGCTGTCTTTGCTTGCTGCCCGCGTCGGCTTGTCCTGGTCGATGAGTTTGGAGGCAGACCGGCTGGCCGTCGGCGTGCTCCCGCGCCCGGTCCGTGAATTTGAAGGCATGCCGGCAGACTGTTGCGAGGCAGGCGCGGCATGTGACGTTGTGTTGGACGATGATGCGATGGACGAGGCGGAATTCCTGGGGCGAGCGGTGGGCGGGGTTGGCGACGCTCGATTGTCCATGGCGGGCGGTGACTATCTTTTCTCACGGCGAGGTGCAGCTGGGGGTTGGGAGACGGAGCATCTGCTCACATGGGACTTGCCCTTGTAGAGAAGAAAGACTATCGTTGGCAGTGGTTATGCATGCAGCAGCGGGTCTACTAGCCTAGGCATGTTGGCGCTCGGTCGCTGTTGCCCTTGCCCTCCGGCCATTTGCCGCAGCAGCCGTTCACTATCGACCTTCACTCCATCCTTAGCGCCTGCCGTGGAAAATCACCACCCTCCAGCGCCAACCATCGCCAACCATTTCCATGGCTATCTCTGCTCTCATACCTGGTCATTTCTCATTGGGTCCAGTGCTTCTATTGCAAGCTTGACACGCCAATGACGTGGGCCACGCGACTCGTCACGTTTTCTGTCACATTCCATTTTCGCCCATGCCATCATTCAACGTTTTTGCTTCACGTTTCTTTTGATCCTTTTTCCATTGAGCCGCGGTCCCAAACAACCACAGTTCAAAGACGCCAATACCTGGTATTCCCGGCGCACGAAAGAGGGCCTCTTTCCCCACAGGCTTCCTAGCTTTCGGCGCGGCACCACCACATGCAGACGCGGTCGAATTGACCTTCGATGTTGCGCTCACAGCTCATACCCGTCTCCGCTCCGCTTCATTCAGAGTGCTGATCATCACTGCGGTTGGAGTATTCATGCTCGACACTTATCAGGTCCATGCATAGCGTCCCCGAGAAGAGGTGCCTGTGATTGTAGGCGGGACCTTGTCGGCTCCTCTAATGCGAAGCATGACAAGCATCCTGGCCGCACTGTTCAAGTGCGTAAGACGGGATGTTTCTTCGATATCGTCCTCAAGCTGCGCACCACCCCGATCAAGTCATAAACCTGTACGGTGCACAAGACCGCCTAGCCGGACGAAGAGAGGTGGTTTTCTGCAATTGTAGTCCTGGCCAAATACGTTACCAAGGTACATGGTCGCTTGTCAATCACATGCATGAAGCATACAACTCATGACTAGGGTGCTAGCACTATCTCGTAAGTAGAATCGTAAGTTGTGGATGGCACGACAGCCGTCTTGATACACGCGACATGCTGTTTATGTGGGCTGGTCGTCCTAGCGCCCG